ATCAGATTCTTCTCTAAATGACATTTTGCTTTCCCCTATTTATTTGCCTACATAATTTATATGGCTGCCCCATAGCAAAAGTACTGTAGGAAGCCAGAGCGGTGTAGTGGTTAGAGTGCTCGACTAGGACTTGGGAGATCAGGATTCAAATCCCCACTCAGCCATAAAGCTCAATGGGTGACCTTGGAGTCAGTCACAGCTTCTAAACCTCACAGGGTTATTGTAGGGATTAACAGAGAAGGGGGTGAACCATGTACTCCTCGCAGAAAAAGGTAGTTAATAAGCTCTTCTGCTTACTTGCTTAAGAAAGCTGGGGATGGGGCAGCCAGATGGAGATGTCTGAACCAACCTGGCATGCAGAGATCTCCATGTGGTTGCAGTTGGATCTGCACAAGTCGCAAAATGCGTCTGGCACATGGAACTTTCTAATACTGCAAAGCAGAGGCTCTGCTGCTGAGCTGCAATGAGTGGATCTGGTGCTCTTGTGCAACAAAGCCATGATAGAAACATGGAATTTTTTTGTTAAGAAAAGCAGGAAAAGGTGCTGGAAGGTTATTGTATAACCTCCATGCAGGCAAATTGGAATGAATGAACTGCAGTGTGGTGTGACCTCTGTAAATGTTGTGCAAACAGATCAGGATGAACGGTGCGTAATGGGGTTGTCTGGAAGAGCGCTTAGCAACATTTGCTAAGGACATATAGCGGCACTGAGATGGTGGTGGACATGCCCACCACTTCAAGCATTCCTTGTTATGCCGCTCAGGAAACTGTGTGCCTGTTCTCCAAACCCATGTGTTTTTTTCTAGGCAGGGGCTTCTTAACCAGCATTGCCTGCAAAGCTCTCAATGCAGAACAGAAATAATCTGCCAAACTCACAAAATGCACACATTCTCTGTGAGCACATTTTAGCTGAGGTCATTTTCATATTGCAATCTTAGTACAATATATAAGCCCTTTGGGAGCTGCAGACTGTAGTGGAAGAAATAAATAAATGGGGAAAGAATATCGAGGTCCCAGCAGAATAGAAACGGGAAGATTTCAGGGCAAGTCAAAAATAATGATGCCGTTCCCTCTGTGTAATTGAATGTTCCCATCCCTGAAAAACAACAACAGAGGACCAAAATGTGATAAGAGTTGAAGGGCTGAGTGTCCTTTGCACCTTATTTGGGGGAAATGGTCTAGGATGGCAACAGCTGAAAAATGAAACAGATGAAACAGCTTTGGAAAGCTAAGTGGGCAGGGGAGATGAAGGGACTTCTCTCTGACTGCACTGAACTTGGGTAAACTTGCTTTAGTTTCCTTCCTCTTGTTTACATCAGCGGAAATCTCATTGATCAAACCTGCCCAGATACAAGCAACTGTAAGCTTGGCTGTCGCTTATTACATCTAACCTTGAACTTTATCAATGGCAACTGATTTCCTGCTGATAAAAAGGTTGCAAACGACTCTGGGGTTGCGGCACTCATCTTGCTTTAAAGGCCGAGAGACCTGGCATTTGTCCACTTCCGCAGACAGTGTTCCCCCCCCCCCATGTCATGTGGCCAGCATGACTAAGCTGCTTCTGGCGAAACCAGAGCAGCGCACGGAAACGCCGTTTACCTTTCCACCGGAGCGGTACCTATTTATCTCCTTGCACTTTGACATGCTTTCGAACTGCTAGGTTGGCAGGAGCAGGGACCGAGCAACGGGAGCTCACCCCGTCACGTGGATTCAAACTCCCGACCTTACGATCAGCAAACCCAAGCGGCACAGTGGTTTAACCGACAGCGCCACCCACATCCCTGTTGACACACACACGTAAATTATATATAATACACAGGCATACAACCCACCCTGTTTAGGAGGTCCAGGTGTCTTTTGTACCCTGCCTTCACAAATACCCTTATTTCACCTGCGAGTGCTGCATTTCCCCCTTAAATCGGTTCTGGTTTATTTTGAGTTATTTTCCTCTTGCCCTCCCATGATTTTGGGTCAGGTTTGCTGTACTGCAAGAAGAGGAGGCATGAAAGGAAGAGCGGGAGATACTTGCTCTAGGCCAGAGGCTCTCAAACTTTCCACCCTCAGAGCCCAATTGAAAGGGCTACAAATACTGAGGCTCCAACTGTCACAAAATAGCTGTGTCAAGGTTATAGCCAGTTTCAAAACAGAGGTGGAGGCAGACATAATAAAACAAATGGCAATTGTTGGCAACATTTTCTTTTGCTATCTAACCCCTCTTTTAAAAATGGATTGTTTGCCACTGTGAGTTCCCTGCAGCAGGGAGTTCCACAGGTCAGCTTTACTCAAGCTTAGCGCAGACATTGGGTTCTGTGGGTATTGTGACTCCTGAAATTATTTTTGTTCTAGGCAAAATGCGCTGACCCGGAACCTCCTTGCAAGTAATTTTATTAGCCTCCTGTAGCTTCTCTCCATCTCCTTTCACACTTGTACTCTGTGCCTACCCCCAATCTGACAGTTTCTTTCATCCTTCCTACCTGGGCCTTCTACATTCACTTCTTCGTCCTGTAACAGCTTCCATGTTTTATCCCCTTCTTCTCTATCCCCAGTTTACTACTCTCGCTTTTGGAGATGCTTCTGCTAGCACCTGCCCAACCCAAAGTATCACATAGTCAGGGCTGGGTGGGTTATAGCGCAGAGGCCTTCCTGCCTGAAAGTGGGTTGAGGCTCCCTAGTAGTCCCTGACCCACAGCTGGAAAAACATGGCTCTAGACGGATTTCCTATTAATAATGAATATATTTCCATCCGTGTTTTCTCCCTGAACCAATCTAGCATCGTTTCCAAGGAAAGAAGAAGAAAATGTCTCAGAATAACTCAGTCAATCCTGGTGTGTGTTAATTTATTAACCTGTCCTTTTGTTTTATAACAAGTTTGGGAAAGCTTGCCTTTTCATAGCTTGTTTGTTTTTTGCCATTCTGTGCCTGCCGCTTGTTGCTCTGCTTGGTTTTCTGCAGCAGACTGTGCACCAAGCTGATCCACTCCTTCCTTTATTGGATCGTACACTCCTATATATCCTGCCTGCCAACTGGGATGGACTTAAAATGCCACAGCATGCTTCCTGCAAGTCAGCCAGAGAGACTGTTCTCACCCCCTTACTTCAAGGCCCTCCCAGCTCCGACTATGCCCACCCCACCCACTCCCAACTGAACTGTGGAGTATCTGTGGTGTTCGTGGAGCTCAGCCAAGCTACACAACCTGCCTTGTTGATAAGTTTATTATTTTTCTTCCTTGCCGCCCCGGTGGAATGCTCGCTTCTGCCGAATTGCATATGTCTGTTGCATACAGGGGCTGCTGCAAATGAGCTCATTTAATGTTTTCGTGCAGTGCATCCTGAGCCGTACCTTGTTTTAAGGATTTGCAGCCACAGGCTTGCTCTCAGCAGTGACCCTTCATTGTTTTCCTAGACTGTGTGCCTGATGTTACTGTGTTGAATTAGCATTATCATTGTGCAAGCTGATCTCATGAGCGCTGGAACAGTGATGTAATGCCACACGCTGGATTCCAGTTGCCCGTTTGAAATTCATTTATCTTTGCCCCTCAGATGTGTCCAAGGCAGTGTGCAAAGCTTAAATTAAAAAAGGTTAGTTAGCAAAACAGGACCTGAAACCAGTTTGGTGCCGTTTTGTGAAGTACAGACGGAAGAAACCACAGTTTCCCCAAGTTATGGACATAACAGGAAATTGTGGTTTATTCAGAACTGTATGTGAGTTTGCAACCTACAGCCTTTGCATGTGAACAAGGCGGGGAAGAGATGGGAGGGCAAAGCACCCAAGGCTCTTTGCACCTTCTTTGTAACTAAATAAACTAAACAAAAATGGTTCACTGTTACTTTTGAGTCTTGATTATATAAACGAAGCAACAAAATTATTGTATGCTAAATATTGGGGAAAATAAAACAAGTTACAGGATTATGCAGTAGTGCCAAAGATCAAAACGACTATGAATTAAGAAGGACAAATTCTGGATATTTTTTTAAATCAAAAGTTATGTATTCTTTTCTGATTTTTTGTGACATGGTTTTTGAATATTACAAAACATGATGTTTGTGTAATTACTATTAATTGTTTTCCGTAGTGTGTCCAAGAGACTCAACAGGGACAAAAATATTAATGGCAGTATTCAAATAAAATATGAGCCACTTGGTCTGCAGAAACATACCTTCCAACATTTAGCCATTGAAAAAAGGGACATCCCATTCCATAATGATAATTTTACTATTTATACCCCACACATCTTATTGGGTTGCCCCAGCACTCTGTGCAGCTTCCAACATATATAAAAACCTAATAAAACATGAAACATTAAAAAATTTCCCTATACAGGATTACCTTCAGATGGCTCGGGTGTGTGTGTGTGTGTGTGTGTGTGTGTGTGTATAACTCCATACCTTCCAACATTTCTCCAGTGAAAATAGGGACATCCTAAGGAAAAGCGGGACATTCCGGGATCAAATCAGAAACCAGGATGGCTTCTCTAAATCAGGGACATCCCTGGAAAATAGGGACACTTGGTGGGTCTGTAGAAACATCACATCTGTATAGGGATTCCATAGTAAGTAAGTACGGTGTCCATATTGTTGACGGGGATGCTGAGGCTGAAGGAGAATGACTTGCTTAAATCTACCTAGTGAGCTTATGGCAGGGGCAGAATTTGAGTTGAGGCCTTCCTGGTTCAGAGCGCACTGTCTTAACTGCCCTTGACTAGTCATCACAAAATACAGTACAGAATACAAATCACACACCAGCAGTAGCATACCTGTTTGCAGACTTTGATTTGTTTGCTTGGAACAATTTGGAAACAATAATAATCAAAACTGAAAAAGGTCTGCTGTTCATCAGGGGAAGCAAACTTTCTGAAATGTTTTACTCTGTATTGCCCTCTTGACTCCTCTTATCTTCTGAAAACATTCCATGCAGCACTGAGAAATCCTGACCAGTGTTTAAGCATGTCTTGCATTGCCCATACCAATGTTTCTGTTACCTTGTCTCCTCCTTTTAAACAGGAGGAGCAGCCCTTGCCTTTTCCAGTGGAGACCAGGAAGCCTCTTAGTCGCATCTTCTACTGGACGATGATGATGCTGTTGTTGCTCCTCGGCCTGATTTTGACATCAATGTATGTCTACAGATACTTCTCCTATACGTTCCCAAATCAGGTATGTATGGGGCAGTGTGAAGGGTCTCTACCTCGTCCCCCCAGGATTCTCAAAGTTCATGTTGACTTAACCTATTGCCTTTTCCCCATTAGTCATTTGATTCCTTCATCTCTCCCCCGCCCCAGGTTCATTTATCATTCATACCTCACTTTTGCTTCCTAGGGAAGCCCAGATCCCCAAACAGTAGACAAAAACAAAAAGCCAGAATCTCTGCTGTATATAACAAAATGCAGCATAGGTCAAAATATAAAACAAGTCAAAGGCAAATTCAGATCAGCAAAACAATAAAACTGTTAGATACCTAAGAATTAATTAAACAACTTAGTCTTCTGACCTTAATGTTCCCATCCCTTTTCCATGGTACCGACAGATAATTTTTTTGAGAACTCCAGGGTGGAGTCTGAGAGAAGAAGAAGAAGAGTTTGGATTTGATATCCCGCCTTTCACTCTCTTTAAGGAGTCTCAAAGCGGCTAACATTCTCCTTTCCCTTCCTCCCCCACAACAAACACTCTGTGAGGTGAGTGGGGCTGAGAGACTTCAGAGAAGTGTGACTAGCCCAAGGTCACCCAGCAGCTGCATGTGGAGGAGTGGAGATGCGAACCTGGTTCCCCAGATTACGAGACTACCGCTCTTAACCACTACACCACACTGGTGTAGAGAGAGGTGGACCACCTCACTTGCTTATTAAGCACACTTTTTCTTTTTCCTTTTTTCTTTTTTGGCAAAATAAATTTCCCATCTTTAATATTAATCTGCAATTTTCATTTCCAAGTCCTTTGTCATTGGCATTTCTCTTTTTTGAGTACATTCCTGGCTCTCTTTTTACTCACTGGAGAGTTTGCTCTGTACGTACACTACGGTGGAGGTTTGTGTAAAATGTGTTCTGTGAGGTGATATTTAAGCAACGCAGGTGGGAAGCTGAGACTTGTGATATATACAGCTGGTCCCAGAGAACAGGAGGCAGGAAAAATGGGAAAGGTTGTTGTTGTTGAAGACTCATCATGTGCTTGCTTTTGAGTTACATAGAAGCTTTGGGCAGAGAGGCAGCACTTAGAGTCACACTTGAGAGCCAGCTGCACATCATATGCAAATGTGTGCAACAAAGCTCCAACTGTCGCTTGTTTTAAAAGAAAAGCGGCTTCAGAAGGCAGCCATGTTGAGGTTGTTTGTTGTATTTGCCTCATCTTAAGGGCCTTAGCTCAGTGTGTCGGATGCAGAAAGCCCAAGGTTCAGCCCCTGGTCTCTCCAGAGGTGGGTGGGAACACATGTCTAAAACTATGGCAAGCTCGTGGTAGAGCCTTCACAGCTAAGGCAGAATTTGGTGGTCCAAGACAGCATAAGGCACCGTCCGCTGTTCCTGTGTGAAAGCTTTTTCTGTGACTCTTGCAACAAAGGTCAAAGAGCCCCTGCATTTACGACCACCCTTTTTATTTCCACAGTATGGCCTGGAAGATCAGGAGCAGGAGATGCTCTGCCAGCTTTTCTACGTAGACGAATTGAGGGAGCAGCTGGAACTGCATGAGAACGTGAGGATTTACCTCGGCGAGAATTATGAGCAGATCAGCATCCCAATGCCCCACTTTGGTGAAAGCGACCCTGCAGATATTATCCATGACTTTCAGAGGGTAAGAAACAAGCAACATGCTACAGATATTATGACAGCTTCTGAGGAAGGGCTGCACCTTGGCGTCTCCTGAATATGCTTGTAGCAGCTTCAGAGACTTGCAGGAGTGACAGGACAGGAAGCCCATGTGAGATGCAGTTTTCCTGACCATGTTTTTAGTACAGCTTTCAGAAGAGGTTCCTGCTCAGTTAGGTGTACCAGTTCCTTTTCCTAACATTACGTCACAGGTATCTCCTGTAAGCAGAGCTTGTACTAGAAGGATCTTTCAAGAAGAGGATGCACTAATGGTTAATCTTTGATGTTACATGAGAGGTACTAAGGTTGCTTAAGCTGAGGGATCCTGGGTTGTTGGAGGAAACCTCTGCTGCTCTCTCACCAAGACCAACATAGCCTCCCTTGTTTGAGCTCATTCTGCCTGTTTTTCCTTTCAGGGTCTGACTGCCTACCTTGACATCAGCTTGGATAAATGCTATGTCATTGAGCTGAACACCACCACTGTCATGCCACCTCAGAGTTTCTGGGAGCTGTTGGTTAACGTAAAGGTAGGGGGGAAATGTTCCTTATTCTCACAGGGGTGCTTTGAAGATAAAATGGAGCGGACACGTGAAATAGAATAGATAAAAATAATTGTGCACGGTCTGAAACACAGGGCAGCATTCACCTTACGAACACTCGGGCTTTTGCTTGTGCAGGTGGGACTTTCCTCCTCACTTTCTTTCCTGGAACAGCTGCTTAGTTGAGGGGGAGAGGGATGGGAGAACCCCCTGAATAGAGTGCACTGTGTGGGGACATCACAAATTGAATGAGGGGGTTGCCTGTATGTTGTAAACTGCCTTGATATACTTTATAGAACTGTTGATTATCAATATTTAAATAAAAATAAATATAGTCGGTCATCCAACCTTGGATTTAACAAATATGTATTGCCAGGAAAGGGACGCGGGTGGCGCTGTGGGTAAAAGCCTCAGCGCCTAGGACTTGCCGATCGAAAGGTCGGCGGTTTGAATCCCCGCGGCGGGGTGCGCTCCCGTTGCTCAGTCCCAGCGCCTGCCAACCTAGCAGTTCGAAAGCACCCCCGGGTGCAAGTAGATAAATAGGGACCGCTTACTGGCGGGAAGGTAAACGGCGTTTCCGTGTGCTGCGCTGGCTCGCCAGATGCAGCTTTGTCACGCTGGCCACATGACCCGGAAGTGTCTCCGGACAGCGCTGGCCCCCGGCCTCTTAAGTGAGATGGGCGCACAACCCTAGAGTCTGTCAAGACTGGCCCGTACGGGCAGGGGTACCTTTACCTTTACCTTATTGCCAGGAAATGCGTAGTCAGCCTTGCACACATGCTATCTTCTTTGTCAGTCTCCTTCCGTGATGCAGATAAACAGATAGCTTGACTTTTACAGAACAGCTCTGCTGGCATTGGAGAACTCTCCTTAATTGACTGAGACAGCAATATTTTACAACAGGCTATTGATTTAGCTTGATATGGCAGCACAACAGCATAGCAATGTGTTAAGATGCCCTGCTCCCATTGAGTTTTCTTAATCTCCCAGGAGATAATCAATCACTGGGTCAGGAAGTGGGGTGGGAGGGCATCTGTGGCTTGGGATGCTTGCCAGGGGAACTGCCTATTCAGCTGATGCCATTCTGATGGTATCACTGTGGGATCTCTCTGCTTGCCTCCTCTGCGGTTTTGGAATGTGTAGGTCAGTTTGCTGGTGGTAAGCTTGTTCGCTTAGTAGATGGTCTTGTGTTGGGGCAAGTGTCTGCTTTTTAGAATTAATTTCATTTTTTTATGCTGCCCTATAATTGTGTAATTTTAGGGAGGCTAACAGATTTAAAATTGGGGTGGGAGTGAGGATTGGTTAATAAAACATAAAGCAGGACTAAAAACAGCCCAGATACCAGAAACTTAAAATAGAAGGAAAAGGCTTAACAAAATGAAAAGGTCTCTACCTGGCACCAAAATGTTATCTAGGTAGTTGCCAGGTGAGCCTCTCTTGATAGGGCATTATATAATCAAGGACCACCTCAATCTCATGCCATTTAAGGTTTTAAGAGTCAAAAACCATTGCTTCTATTTGTGCCCATAAATGGTCTGGGAACCAGTGAATCTGGCAACACACCGTCCTGTTTCCTAATCTCAGTTCAGCAGTGTTGCAGCTCAGTTTTGAGCTCTGAAGTTTACAGACCATCATTGGTCCTGTGCATGGTACACACTGGGAGGTTGCCCAGGGCATGGATAACTGAAGTTGGGCTATTCCTGTCCAGGTAGGGTCACAGTCAGCACCCAGCAAAGGTGCTAAAGGGCTACACCTCCTGTGCCAAATATGGTTCAAGAAGCACCCCCAGACTGCAAACCTGATTGTTCAACCCTCTCCAGAACACAACTCGCTTCGCTGTCTTGTTTGGGTTGAATTTCAATGTACTGAGCATCATGCAGTCTATTACTATGTCCAGGTATTGATTTAACACCTCTTCCTCCTCGCCTGAGTCGATGAAAATGAGAAATTGGGAGTCAACCACAAACTGACTTCGCTGAAAAGCTTCCAGATGACCTCACTCCGTGGTTTCATGTAAACGTTTCAGAGCACGTAGGCAACAGAGCAAGACTCTTGTGGGGCCCTGGAGCACAAGCACCCAGAAATGAAGTGAACTCTCTTCCAATCACAAACTATTTTCTAAAATAATTTGGCAAGTTGAAGCAGAACTACTGCAAAGCACTGCCCTCATTTCTCAGCACAAGGCAACCTAATCCAGAAAGAAATCACGGTCTCTTTGTTTCTAAGGAGCAAGGATTGAATTGGCACAATCTGACCTATTTGGTCATTCAGATCAGATTGAGTATGAGGATACTTGTATACCCAAAGATGAATGAGGACAGAGTCCTGCACTTAGCAGGCTCAAAACCAGCTATATTTTATTATTCTGTCCTAATATTGTTTGTTGGAAGCCTGTAGGGTGAAGAAGATTAACCCCTGCTTATTAAACTAGTTCTGTTTTCTTCCACCGACACATTCAGAACCATATTGTACACCTGTGACTTTGCAATATCATTTCTGATTCCCTATTTAGTGCTTCTTAATTATAATTCTAGCGTCCTGTGGCTACATTTAGACCATTGAGAAACAAAGCGACACTGGGAAGGTGGTCTGGCTCTAAATGGAACTGCAGTTTTCCAATTCCGCTAGGTGATTCGCTTCAGAAAAACAACTACCACCTCTCTAAACGTCTTCAGTGTGCTCTCTCTCTCTCTCTTTGTATTTGTTCTTTTCCTCCATGCACTCCAGGGCCAACTAGCTTGATTCCAAGCCAAAGGCCAGGTGGAACAACTCTGTCTTACAGGCCCTGCAGAAAGAAATCAGATCCTGCAGGGCCCTGGTCTCATGAGGCAAAGCGTTCCACCAGGCCGGAGCCAGTGTTGAAAAGGCCCTGGCTCTGGTTGAGAACAGGGGACAAAGGTGGAAGCCCCCTAGAGGGTCTATGTGTTCATTTTTGGCCTTTTGATTTATAAAAACCAATTAAGCCATGAGAAGATTCCACCTGATACCTGTTTGTATTGATTGTCTTCAGAAAGCTTACAAAACAATGATGTTCCTGTCAGAAGTGTGCTGCTGCTCCCGGCTGGTTTTCAAAATGCCAATTAAATCCTTTGCTGATGAAGATGAATGAATGTTGCTTGGATCAAAATATTGAAGCCCTGATAAAATCATTTCTGAAGAGCAAAGATCATGGCTGTCAGGCATAGTTTCCCCCTGAAATTTGATCCTCATCAAATAATCTCAGTAATAGTTAAGATTTTGTGAATTTAATTCTGTGGTTTCAGAAAGGGGCATACCTGCCACAAACCTACATGATCCAGGAGGAGATGATAGTGACAGAACATGTCACTGACGTGGACCAGCTTGGCTTCTACATTTATGCCCTGTGCAGGGACAAAGAGATATACAGGCTGAAGCGCAGGACTGCGAGAAGACGTAAGTTTTTGCTGTTGCTTCTGGAGTTACACTGCTCAGCTGGGCTTTGAAGTCAGAACAGCATTTATCTTTGCAATTCCACAGAGGATAACTATTTTATTTAGACATTTATTAACTGCCCATCAACCATGGCCACTGGTTGGTTTACAGCAAATGTCGGAAACAGTAAAATATAAGCTAATGATATATTAGAACAATAAAATCAGTAAAAACATTAAACTCAACACAATATGCATAAAACCCCTTGGAAGGCTGTTAATTCATCTAGCTGATTTACAGTAGGAGTAACTGTATGCTTTTGTAAAGGGTATCATTATGATAGTCTTTATTACTGAAGCTATGTGCTTTAAAAGAAGTTTATTTCTTTAATAGAATAAATGCCTTGATGGAGGCCAATTTTTAAAAAATGGTTATGGGGTTATTTTTGTGCTCTTGCTTCAACATCCTTGATTCTTGAACCGGTTCTATTTCAACACTCATCTGCTTTCCTCGCCACACCATGCCTTAATCTGACATTTCTTTCTACTCTCTTCCAGATATCCACCGACGTGCTGCTGAGACATGTCATCACATCCGCCATTTTGAAAACACTTTTGTGGTTGACACAGCCATTTGCCAGAAGTTGTGAGAGCTGCACTCCCAATGTAACCCTCTTGGGCTTCTCCTCTACTCATCCGCGCAGGCGTTCTTGCTCTGTCCTTGAGAGAATGTGTCTTAATTTACTTCTTGCTCCCATTGCTTGCGCATTACTAACTTCTCAGGTCACATGTGGCCAAACACTGGGCCTTGGATGTCTTTGTTCTGCATTTACATTCAACATTCACACATCACTGGGCTTAAATTTAGACAGCGACCCCAAAATGTGAGTATTGGGTTTCTCTTGAGAAAGCTAGCACAACAATCTCTTCTGAAAGAGCATGAGAAGCTTGAGAAGGAGGGGGGCCCTGCTTCAAATCTGTACCCAACCACAAAGTTATCTGAGTGACGGTGAACCAACCACTCACTCTCAGCATTACCAACTTCACAATACTGTTGTGAGGATGAATGGGGTTGATTTGTTGGTTAGGAGCTCCTTGGAAGGTGGATTATAAACGTAATAATAAAAAAGAAGAGTTGGCCTTTTTCACTAGAGTGCCACTTCCTTCTCAGCACAAAGAACCATTTGTATGAATCAATTAACAGAAAATCTGCAGTGAAATTAATTCCCTAAAAGGGCAAGGAAGCTGTATCAGTATCCTTGCAGCTCAACATCGAAATTCATGGACTTGTCATTCTAGGTCAGAGCTTTCCAAACTTTTCACGTTGGTGACACACTTTTTAGACATGCATCATTTCGCAACACAGCAGTTCAGTTTTACTAGCAAACCAGAGGCGAAACTAACTCCTTTTCAGCCTTGAGGAGCAGCGCAGGGAACATTTGCCTGCAGTCAGCACACTGACATGTCAACACAGTTTGGAAAGCTCTGTTCTAGGCTTTACATAGCAGCATTTGTTGCCTTTCTGTGCAAGCTTGCCTGCCATTTTTTCCTCATTTCTCTGTAAGAGGCACAATCCCACAATGCAAGGGATGCGTGTACCACTGATCTGCATGCAAGATTGGTTGTGTTCTCCTGAATCTTCAGGAGAAGGAAAAGCAAACTCTTAAAATCCTGAGTTTGTAGACCAGCAAGAATAAACCATTCTGGGAGATGTTGCTGGTGAAGAGGTCAATACAGCTGGCTCTCCCAGTGTCCAGATTGTCTCACCATCTCCAAGTGAAACAGGGCCCACTAGTCTTTTTACCATTGGAGAGATGACAACTGAACTTGGACCAAATGTTTATCTTGATTGACTTATCTTTGGGGTCTTAAAAAAATGTTTCAGAATATCACTTAGCAATTCATTTTTGCCAGATGTTTATAACGGAGGTTTTGTAGATACAACAGTCAGATTGAGCTCTTGCTTTGTAGGAATGGATTGGTTGAAATAATGATGAGGATCTCCATGCAAATAGGTAGTAGGGCTGTGATTCACCCTCCACAATAATAATAAAAAGAAAGGGATTAGTAGCATTGCACACTGGAGGAAAGATTGGCTCCCCATTTCCTTGCACACTATATACCACCCATTAGGTTTCTAAACACCAGAAGTTGAACAGTAGATTATGATCCAGGTCCCTAGACGTCTGCTCTTGTAAAAGATTGGTTAAACAAGAAAATCAAATGCAGTTGGACTGCAGTTACACAGTTTTCTTTTTTGTGGCAGATGGAAAAATGTGGTTGAGAACACCCCTAGACAAGTAGAGTTCAGGGAATATGAGGAGGGAGAGGGATGCACAGAAAAGAGACCAACATTCATTTAGCAGAACTTTGCTAAACACTTCCTACACAGTAAAATTCTCCCAGAAGATAACAGAACTAAAAGCTGTGGTTGCGTTTAATATACTGGAAATGCAAATCGCACAATCTGAAGCATCTTCATCATGTGTCTTGACCATTGAGGGCATTAATGGATTAGTCCCTGGGAGGACGTTGGTCCAGGTGTTGTGTAGGGCATAGGATGCTTGTGTGGAGCTGGGAGATGGAGCAGGTGGACACAGGGAAGAGAAGATCTGATCTTTGTCAGAAGATCTGTGGCAAGGTTGTCTCCCATAGCATGTAATGGGAGAGAACTGTGGGTCTCATTGGACAGCTCCCAGGTTACAGAAGGTATGAGTTGTCAACACATCTATATTTCAGGAATGTGCCTGCATCTCGAATTGAACTCTTGGTGCTTCTGAACAAGGTTTAGGGTAGCTATGCATGCACAAATTGCAGTACAATATGTGCTTCAAGTGTCCCTATGGCATTTGCTCCCTTGCGATGAAGTAGTGGCCTGGAGTGATCTGCCACTGTGCTGTCAGAAACCTGCCCAGCCAAATATAGGGCATGATGACACCTTCTCTGTAGGGCAAATTGAGTGGTTTAGCCAGTGTTAATAATAACAAAATGCCTAATGTCTGGCTGCTGCAAAATAGAGAAAAACTCAAAACAATGCACACATTTTGCCATGTGGAGGTGGACTCAGTGTGATTCCAATTAAAGCAGTCACAACATAGAGGCGTATTACTTATAACCATCCTTGGATTTTATTTTAACTTTTACCTGCCCATGCAAACAGAATTTTCAGCTCCTTTTGAGGTATGCACTCTGCTTGGTTAGGAGTAATGTTCAAATTCCTATTGATTTTCATTTCAATTTCATCTGAATGGTACATATTCTGAAGGGAAAGGAGCATCATAACAGTTTCTTTAGTGAGCATCGTGGCACAGTAATAAAAATTAGGCTTGCATTTTCTTCTGCGCTACTCAAGTTGGAAATCCAACCTTTTTGTGTTTGGTTGTGCATGTTTTAAGCCAGTCTTTAACCTTGGTAACTTTGTGCAAAACCTGAAACACATGGACAAGGCCTTAGTTCTTTGCTGGAGCTAAAGATGATTCAAAGAACAGAACATCAGTTATCAGGTGACGAGATGGGGGGAGGGTGGGTGGAACAAAAGAAAGACCATTAAATGCTTTATATATTTTGTCTGAAAGAAATCTTACCTTTTAGGAGAAATGAATGAGATAATAAAATATTTTACTTCTGGTTGCAGTTGTCTCTTATTTCTGTATATGTATTCCTAAAGGATTCTCCCAGTGCTACTTTCCTAGAAAAAGAGGTGCCAGAACTTCTCTTACAGTGACAATGGTAGCCACTTGAGATGTGCCAGAACTGAGTTCTGGTGAGTTGCAGCTGAAATAGAGCCCTGATTATACCTGTCTTCAGGCCTTGCAAAGAGGATTAAAAAAGCACATGGAGGAGACAGGATGAGCGCACCAGCTCCCATGCCTCCACTATTTTCATTGTCTTCCAACCGTGGAGGGAGATGGTCTGGGATGAGGTGTTTTGGAGCTTTGAGCTTAGATGGGGGGGGGGGAGTGGTAGTTGCAATGAATGACAGCACTGAATGTCATGGTTAGACAGCACTGAATGTCATGGCCATCTGGATGTACAGTTCCTACTGCTTGTAAAGCAACAGTAGGGCAATACCTTTATTAAAAAAAGGGGTAAAGGGTGTCAGCATTGCCCTTGAGCCAGTGCCACCAACTGGACTCACACACTTTAGCCCCGACTGGGCCAGGCGAGCTAGGTAGCACTTCCAGAGACCACCTTCTGCACAGGAACTGGTCAAAGTGCTGTGGACTCACAGCTTAGAGTTGTGAGCACCGGATTCACTCCAACAAGAAGACAGTCGTCGCACAGCAGAGTATAGCAGAGCATAAACGACTCGGAGAGCAGCTCTGTAGAATATCTTCTTTATTCTATCTACAACTATAATACACAACTATGTACAGAGCAAAATGAGGTCTAAACGAAAAATGCTGAACTGCACCGAGTGTCTGCAGCTGCTCTTAGCAGCAACCTTATCTATACAGAGATAACACACTCTCTCTCTAACACTCAGTCTCTCTCTCTCTTTGATGCGAGGCTGGAGCGAAATAAGTAGAGAGCAGAAACCGCCCCCTCCTCTCTGGAGAATCAGCAGAGAACATCAGCAGATTCTTGGATACAGGAGGGGTGGAATCTCCTCAAAGGGGACCCCTGACGATTAGGTCCAGTCGTGACCGACTCTGGGGTTGCGGCGCTCATCTTGCTCTATAGGCCGAGGGAGCCGGCGTTTGTCCGCAGACAGCTTCCAGGTCATGTGGCCAGCATGACTAAGCCGCTTCTGGTGAACCAGAGCAGTGCACAGAAACACCGTTTACCTTCCCACCAGAGCGGTACCTATTTATCTACTTGCACTTTGATGTGCTTTCGAACTGCTAGGCTGGCAGGAGCAAGAACCGAGCAATGGGAGCTCACCCCGTTGTGGGGATTCGAACCGCTGACCATCTGATTGGCAAGTCCTAGACTCTGTGGTTTAACCCACAGCGCCACCTGCACTAACTAAAATGTCACAAAGCAGTGAGCAGACTTTTGAGTTCCCCAAGAGGCCTTCTCTAACATCAGTCTTTCCGTCTTGTAATTATGAAACCAAAGCTCATAAACCAAAAGAGAATGGAAGCTGCTGAATCATATTTCCGAGTAAAGTAAATGTTCTGCAAGCATAAAGCTCACCATGCATCTTCCTGTCCAAAGAATTACAATTTTGCACTGTAAGAGAAAGCTTGATGAAATGCAGAAAACTGCTCCTGAATTGGCTGTGCTATTCGTTTTACTGGTAAAAACACAGGAGTAACATCATTACAGCCAATGGATTTATATCACTATTAAATGACAAAAACCAGTACAATAATAGAGAAATCAGTTGCCTGTAAACTCAAATACTGTATGGGTTTGGGGACAACTGCTACCTTACCACAGTCCTCATTGTGGGCCCTGGTTTGATTTCCAGGAAATTCTGAACATAATGTGATTTAATTGTCACACACAAGTCTGGATGTCCCTCTCACACAGTTTGTTTTATTTATTTAGGAACTGAAATGCCACTTTTCAAAACACAGTTTTCTCAAGGTAGCTTATAATTAACATCATACGACATGAATTTAAGCACACTTCACCAAAGGGGGAAAATTTCCGCTTCACAACAGCACATCCAAAATGGCTGCTCACCGAATACTTTAGTCGATGGTACTTGCTTGTGTATTCTTCTCGGTTGAGGCAAATTTCATAAACTCCTTTAAGACGAAATAGTAGCAGAAACCATCCAGGAAGCAGTTGAGATTAGCCCAGCACAGGCTGATCTGAACAAATGAGCGAATAATCTGCTGGCAATCATCCAGTATTTGGTTCTTCACAAGATAATATAACACCAGGGCCACATGCAAAGGGGTGAAGCAGACGAGAAACGTAGTCAGGTTTGCTGTGATTATATTGATAGATTTGCTCCTGTTTGTGAGGGGCTCACCAGGTGTTTGGTTCCTTCGCAGGCGTACAATGATCCGGATTGTACAGAAGATCATAGCTGTCATGCAAACAAGAAAAGCTGTTTCCAGGGTGATAAACAAGATGGTGTTTTTCCAAATACTTCCGGAAAAGCCATAGAAGCAGGGGCCTCCATGTTGGTGAAGTTGATACGTATATGCAGTTCCTGCCCACACCCCAGCTGAGATGACAAGACAAGTTGTGGCTGCTTTTTTGGGAGATCTTAGGGTCATGGCGGCAAATGGGTGCAATATAGCAATGTATCTATCCACACATATGCATGTGGAGGTTAAGATGCTTCCATACATGTTCACAAAATACAAGCTTTCCAGGAAGGAACAAAAGGCACCCCCGAGAACCCACTCGCTTTTGTGATAGGAAATTATCTTAAAGGGAAGAGCAAAGAGCATCAAGGTATCAAAAACCATCAGTGATGCCATGTAGATAATGGGTTCTGTCCATTGCCTGATCTTGCGGCAGGCAAACCACATCGCCATTCCGTTGAACAGCAATCCCAGGATGAATGTGGGAATGTATATAGCAAGTTGGAAGCGTTCCACATAAGGTGGAATGGGGAGGCTTGTGTTCCCTTGACTAGAACAGTTGGCTTGAAGGCTGCTTGTCTCCATCAGTTCAGTTTCCTTCAAAAAAGAGACAATGAAGCTATTGAGGTGTCGGCTACTGGATGATAGTTTAAAGAATGAGTCAATTGGTCAGTGCCCCCCCACCCCCATTCAAAACCCATCTGAACCATGAGCTCACTAGATAGCATCAGGGAATCCATTTTCTTTCAACCTCCCATGTGTAATATGGAGGTAACAATAAGGTAAAGGTAAAGGGACCCCTGACCATTAGGTCCAGTTGTGACCGACTCTGGGGTTGCGGCGCTCATCTTGCTTTATTGGCCGAGGGAGCCGGCGTACGGCTTCTGGATCATGTGGCCAGCATGACTAAGATGCTTCCGGCAAACCAGAGCAGCGCACGGAAACGCCGTTTACCTTCCCACTGGAGCGGTACCTGTTTATCTACTTGTACTTTGACGTGCCTCCGAACCGCTAAGATGGCAGGAGCAGGGACTGAGCAACGGGAGCTCACCCCGTCACGGGGATTTGAACCGCCAACCTTCTGATTGGCAAGTCCTAGGCTCTGTGGTTTAACCCACAGCGCCACCTGCGTCCCTGGAGGTAACAATACTCACCTACAATATTAGAGTTGCTGTAAGGATTGAACACTTAGGAGTAGTGGAGGAGGCCAACCTGGTTTCTCTGAGCCATTAGCAGGGTCAAATCCCACCTTTGCCACTTCCACTCATGTAGGCTGGGCGTGGCCCTGCAATAGGACACCAATGTGTTTGATAGCACCGCAGTAAAGCTTTGAGTCTTAGCATTCATATTGGTCCTACTGCAAAATCAACTAAATCATAACATAGTTAAGGACTTCTCTAATCAACCTGAGTCAATTAGTATATGTTCTTCATTCTCCCATTGAAATGCTGCTGCGACGCAGATGTGAACGTAAATTTTATGCCACAGCACTCAGTGAAGCAGGCAGAAGGTACCAATAGTTTTACCCATTCAAACTCCGAATAAATTATGAAGGAGTAGCTAAAGCTGCCTCCTCCATACAACTGGAAGCTAAAATAAAATAGTAATAATTAACTCAACGGGAACTGCAACCAGATGAAGACAAACAACTGAGAGAAGTAGGCAGTGGAGAGGAAGACAGAAGTCGAAGAAGGCGACTGGCAGCAAATGAATAGAAAGGGAAGAAAAACAAGATGGATAAAGACACCTGCAAAAAAAGGAAGACGCAACAACAGCAAAAGCAACACAGAGATGACTTCCTGCCTGACGTCTCATTGAAACTACCAGCTGTAAGTTTGAGATCTATAACCAAAACAGGAAAGAAATGAGATCTATGAGATCTATAACCAAAACAGGCAAGAACTGGGCTATTCTTCTCTTATTTTTTGTTTGCAATATAACCATGTAAAACATTTTCTGTTTCTGTGGGGGAGGGGTTAGTGCTTATGTTCCCCGACGTCATTTTCACTCATGAGCATCTGATTCATGAAAAAAGAAGCAAACTATTCCACTCTCAGCTATAGGTGCCGGGAAGGTTGTGGGATTTTTGTCTGTATTCTCAGCATTCGCCATTTCACATTTTAAGCTCATCGTTGTACGAGGGTGCTCTGTGTGTGTTATGTTCCCTTGGAACCTGGCTGCTAGAATTTTATTCTATTTTTGTTATGGTTTAGGAGCTGAAATGTGACCTTGAAGTGTGTTGTGGAATACGGTGCTTGGTGGTTTTTTGTTTTTTAATTTCCTGCTGAACAAGGATGTGACCTTGAGCTGTGTTTCAAAACCACTTTAGCTTTAGCTAAGT